TGCGCGTCCGGGACACTCAGGTTCGGGGGCAGGGGGGAGGGGGGGCGGTAGGGTGTGTCCCAGACGGTCGCTACTTTTGAGCGCAGACTTTTCTGTGCCCGTCGAGGAGTCCTGGGTGCATCCTTTCTGGGTGTCCGAGGTGGGCAGGGGCCTCAAGAAGACCCACCCCATTCTGCCCCCCCCCCACCCCCCTAAGCGTGCTCTGCCCTGTGCCGCCTCCTGAGGGCTGATTGGCATCAGTGGGATTTCATTGTCTTAAAAGGGAGGCTGTGCGTCCCGCCGACAGACTTTATGCTCTGCTCCGCCTGCCCACCCATAGCAGGCACAGGCCGCTGAGTGCCCCTGAATGAAGACAGGGTGCCCTCCTGGGCCCCCAGAAGTAGCTGTGAGGGTTGTGTGAGGTCCTGCAGTGGATCCCAGCTGGCGTTTGTTGGATGCTGGTGATGCGATGCTCTCTGGTGCCCCAGGGGCCGGCCTCTCACTCACCCCTTGGACCAGGCGGTAGCTAGCTGTTCCGGGACCATGCCAGGCGGCCGAGGCCCACCAGCTGGGGAGTATCAGGCTGAAGGTGGGGGGAAGACAGAGCGACAGTGGGTGAGCTGGGATTTGAACAAACCAGCCTTGTGTGACCCCAACATCCTGGGCACTTTCCAATGGCCCCGGCCTCTCTGTCTGTATGGCCCGGCTTGGGTTTCTAAGTGGTAACATTAGCTCTGGCCTGGCAGCCGCTGGTGACCTGAGTAGGTATCTGCAGAGGGGCTTGCATGACACAGGAGCCATTCACAAAATGCGACCCTCACTCTCCTCTCCGGCAAGACTTGGGCCCTGTTCTACAAATACCAGGGGGCTGGGTCACAACCCTGAGTCTGACGGTGGCACTAACAGCAATGAGAGGTTCGATCAAGGGCTTCCTGTGTGCCACGCACCAGCTGAGCACATTAAAAATGCTGGGTTGTCCTAACAGCGTCACGAAGTGGGTACTATGGCTCCTGTCTTCCTGAGGAGGAGATCAGGCTCAGAGTGGCATAGACACTCGCCCGAGGGCACACAGCAGAGGTTTATAGAATTCTTTCTGAGTCTCACATGTCAGCGTGGCCACACTTGCCCCGGATGGGGCTCACAGGCCATTGCAGCCCTGGGATGATCTAGGTTACGACTGGTGGCTTTAACACATCTTCCTCTGCCAAGATCTCCTACAGTGTGCCCAACGCTGCAGCGAGACTCCCCCTTCCCCACGCCAACTTGTCCACTTGGCCCTGCCCTCCGAACTGCCCCTGAAGTTCTTTCTCAGAACCTCGGAAATCTGGGGTAAGCTCTCTCTCCGTCGGGCCTTCTGGGGCCTGGCACTTTGGGAGAGTATGAGTCTTGGGTGGGGCAGCCCTTTGGCAAAGAGGGGGTCAAAGAGGTGCCATGCGTCAGAATGGGGGAGTGGAGAACAGAGGCGGGGTGTGGGGCAGTGGGACCAGTGTCATGTGCTGGGCTGTCAGGCTGCCGGTGCGCCCCAGCACCTGTGCTTCAAGGAGAGGCAGATAGACGGTTTCCGGCAGGTCAGGGTCTCTGTCCTGAATTCCTTCCTAGGAGCCCACACACCTTGTATGACAAGTCCCCGACTGGCGGCCGGGCTAACCTGACAAACCAGAGCTCCATGGGCGTGGGCCTTGGAGCCACTGGCACCTCCATCTCCAGATAACATGGGGCCGTCGCAGGACAGGCGGGGCTACCTCTGCCAGGGCAGGGCTGCTGCGTGCCCTGCCTGGGTCTGGGATGAGCTTGAGGGCTGGTGCAGAGGGGAGTGGGCATGCCGGCCTCCCACAGCATCCTGTGTGTCATTTCCATAAAAGAATAACAGCAGAATTAGGGACGACGGCTAAAATTTTGCATGCTAGCCGCTAAGCCTCACCTCACCAAAGTGTCCCAAACAACCTTAACAGGGAGGTCCTGCTATTTGTAACCCATTTTCCAGATCGGTGAGTGGAAGCTGAGAGTGGGGACACGGCTCTCTCCAGGCTGCTGCTTTATTGGGGATGAGCAGAGTTATGATTTTGAATCGAGGCTTGTTTGAGTCTAAACCTCACATTTTACAGGATGATACCATGCCCAGACTACATTTTCTTTTCTTTGGAGTTGAAGTGTAATGTCCATACAGGGAAGTGCACATTCCAGACCTGGACCGTTCAGGAGTTTTCTCAAGTTGAAACCACACATGTCATCAGACCCAGGTCAGGAGAGAGAAACCTGCCGGCGCCCCACAACATGCTCCTCCCTGCCAATTAAAGCATCTTAACTCATGTTTTCATGAATTTTGACTACTTAATTTTAAATTAGACCTGAATTTTTTAAAATATATATTATTGATTTTTTACAGAGAGGAAGAGAGAGGGATAGAGAGTTAGAAGCCCGCAACCAAGGTACATGCCCTTGACCGGCATCAAACCTGGGACCCTTGAGTCCGCAGGCCGACGCTTTATCCACTGAGCCAAACCAGTCAGGACTAGACCTGATTTTTTAAAGAGACATTTTAGACTTAGAGTAAAATACGTAAGAAGTATAGAGTTCCAACACACCCTTGCAACTCCCTACAATTTCCTGTTTAGTAACGTTTTTGAATGGGCAATATGTGCTTACGCTTTAGAAAATCAAAAAGCCCCTAGAAACGAGGAGGGAAAGTTAAGTCTCCCTTTCACTCCTGCCCCCAGTTCTTCCAGGCCCCTTCTGGAGGCAGCCACCATGAGGAATTTCACATGGGTCCTCGAAACACTTTGTATTTTTTTGCCTCACCTTTGTCTCCTCAGTGCCCAGAACAGAGTCACACACATAGCAGGGGCTCCCACATGATTTGCCAACTGAGTGCTGGAGAAATGCATGCAGAGCCCTTGGCAAAGGGCTGGCATGTGGACGCATGCAGAGGGAGAGCACGATGCTCAGTAGCAGTCACTCGCTGGCTTCTTGGCGTCGCCGGGGGAATCGTTATCCACCGTTAAATCGGCAAAGAAAGAAATACCCACGGCTGCTTCCTGTCGAGCGTGTCGCCTCGAGTTGCCCGAGAGAGAGGCAGCCTGATGGCACGTCATTGTCCACAAGTCGGAGCATCTGCCTGGGGCTTGTGACTTGGAGCTCTCTGTGCTTCATTTTGGGGGGTTGCCCACACCCCACCCCCACCCTACCTGGACCTTTTCCGGGGCAGCTCCCCTATACCGGGCAGTCTGTATTTTTTTTTTTTAAAGGAGTTTAAATTGTGGTAAAATACACATAACATTTAGGATCTTAACCATTTTAAGGGTACAGTTCAGTGCCATTGAGTACAATCATATTACTGTACAACCGTCACCACCATCCATCAGCATAACCTTTTCATCTTCCGAGACTAAAACTCTGTTCCCATGAAACACTAACTCCCCATCCCTCCCCC